AGGTCCACCACCTGTTGATAAACGTGCATGTTTTTCCTGCGTAAGGACATCTCTCTGTACTGATTTTAAATTACTCCATAATTTTCTAAATTGAACGCTTCTCTGTAATAATTTATTACACATTAAAATGTTAAAAATTAAATTACTTTGAATATAAAAAGTATTTAAAATCTAGCTTAAAAATGAAACTATCTACCGCAAATATAATATTAGATTTTTTTCAGATATAATTAACATTTTTATTTTAAGCATTTAACATACCTAATTAGAAAAAATATATTTCTTACCTTACTTGTAACAATAGATATATGCATCGCAAGTTTGATTCCATGTTTCTTTTTTGTCTTTCAAAGTTGTAGTATCACTTTTTTTCAAGAAGAATATTTTGTTAAAATTTTAAGGAAGAATTCTTTTCGGGATCTATATAATGTTTTTTGCTTGACATTTTTTTTTACAGAAAAGTCACTTTCTAACAATACTTTAGAGTCTGCAATAATTTGATACATGAAGATGATGATTCTGGATGTCATTTATCTCAACACAAAGCCATCCGATGAGTGAGATCCACAATTAGCTCTTGACAAAATTGTTCGCTCGAAGAAAGTATGATTATGTCCACTTCTTTCAAAAAAATTTACGAACGACGCAAATTTTTAAGATTTCCTGGATTCTTGCGTTATTTAATTTAGATAAGATGAGCTGCATATTTATTATGAAATTTTTTTGCTTTATCTTGATTGCAAATGTTGACAAAATATATTATTATAAAATATATTCTTTTTATGCAATTTAATAATTACATTTGACGAGTAACATTTCTTCTTTTTTGCAGAAGTCACGCTTGGATTTTATATCTTCAGTTACTCGTTCTATAGGATTATTTGCGTCGTAAACACCATGTTGCTTGAGCTAGTGATGACAGCAACAGATGTTCTCCGATATCAATTCTTCTCTTTTTTTTGTTGACAAGGAACAAATGAATAGTTAAGAGCTGTTCATGCTACCAGAGTATCTACAAGTGATGTTATATAAGAAGGCTTGATGTAAACTTTTAGAAGAGAAACTGGAAGCTTCTTCTTGTATATCGAATAAGAAAATTATCGTCAGTCTTCTTCTTCTTCTTCTTCTGCTTCTTTTTTGTTGACAAAGAACAGATTCAGGAAAAAGAAAAATCCAATTCAGATGTAGACTTCATTGATTTTGGGATGGGATGAGACATACATTTCAGTAACTAATCGAAATATTCCAATCGATTTTCTTCGCGTTAGGTCAGTTTGACGAATGATCTGTTGAATTATGCCCTCGATCATCCATTTCGCTAATTCTCATCGCAATTTGTAGTTCAACTTGTATTCTGAGTGATACGCGTGAGTGAAAAGAGAAATTACTTTTTTCAAACTCGATAATGTTTACTCTCAATTAATTTATCTTATTGTTATTGTGTCAATTAAAATTATAAAATTACTTGCTTTTTTTAAAATACTTTTCTCAGATGTTTTATATATATATATACACACACATACACATACATATATAATGTGTTATATGTATTTATATCGGTTTCTTTTTTTTAATAAAAAAATATTAATAGAAACACAAAAGGATGAGATGTAATGGAATTGGAAACTTTGTTTCAACAATAATGTTTATCGGTGTGACTATAATGAATAAATCGATAGGAATGAAGAAATATTTATCATAGCAATATTTCCGGATCTACCGGAGTTAGTTTAAGTGATACAGTTTTATGTGTGTATCTTTTTCAAAAAATAAATCTTAAATCTTCATGTTCTAAAATATATTATATGACCACCGTATGTGAAAAGGGATATTTATATTGTATGCAAATAATTAATTTATTATCATTCTGCAGGTGTCGCTGTTTAGAATCCGTGGTACTGCATTTATTATCAGATCCATGACTTCCAAACTTGCATTCATAGAAAAACGAAGTATTAAAATATTACTTAAAAATATTTATCACATTTACTTTTACAGCAATAATTTTAAATTAATTTCATAACTTGATAAATTAATATACAGATATAATTTCTTCATATATAAATGTGCGAAAAAAATATGCTTGACAATTTTTTCCTCAAAATTCGAATACATCATAGTCAATTTAAAGACAAGATTATCATGCTTGTATCATATAAGTGAATTTTAGTTTTTTTAATATACTTGAAACACATTTTTTGTGTAACATTATTTCTCAATTAAATTAAATTAATTTTATCATAACGTAATCAGTAAACATTGTACGGTACATAGACATGATTTTAACTGGAATAATCCTAGAATATTGCATCGTAAGAAGCACAAAAAGAAAAGGGAGATCGCTGAGATGTTTTTTATTAAGAATCATGATAAGAATATAAATTTACATAAGGACACCGAAAATTTAAACCCGATATATGATTTATTATAATAATATCGAATTCGTGAACTCTGTTTTTTATAATTTTATTTTTATTTTTCTTTGTACTTTCTTTGACGTTAGTCTTTTTTAGTAATTCTGACACGTTTTTATACACAATAAATCCTTTTTATATTAACATTATTTTCATAACTATAGCTCTTGTCGACGGCATATATATACAAATAATTTTTCACCAGGTTATCATTAGGCTCACGTTGTCCTTTTTGTTAATCATCACTTTAAGTTTTTGCGAACAACAGCTTAGTGTTTTAATATGTAATTTTACTTCAATAATTAGGTATTGTATTTTATTGATAGTTTTTATGTAGAATGATTTGGTTTGTACTTTATAATTTTTTATATTATCATTTTTCTAGTTACGCTTGATAAGGGCCAGTAATTGATGGTCGAAACGTTGCGTGACATATTTTGTACTTTTTTTATGTGTCAGTTTGGTCGAATTAAATAAAAAGAAGATTTATTTTATTTATTATTGTTTAATCTTCACTGGTGACTTCAAGTATTTTAAGTGTTAATTAAATGTAACATTAAGCTAATCTGAAGCTGCTCAGAGAAGAGCAGCCGAATAAGATATATTAGAAACTGCCATATATTTGTAACGCATTAAAGATCATATCTTGTCAGTACAGAAATTTTATTAGTCATCTGAAAAATGTGTATAAAATGTATTTTACAAGATTACTCAGCATATAAGTAGTATTTTTAAATTTTTTCTTAAATATGCTTATTAGCATACTTTTACGCATTGTTATATTTCAAAGAAAATAATAACAAATTATAGGCCTTGTAATAAAGCTTATAAGTTTTTCTGTAAATCTTGCAGGCATATATTTAAGACACCACCTTAGAGGCGGGAGGTGGCGGCTCGAGCGGGAACACTCAAGCCGTGACCTCGCCCTCCCAAACTCTTTGGGAAGGCGCGACGTGGGAGCGGTGCCTCCCCCGCGTCACAACCGGGAAGACGAACCGCACGAAGAGAAGAAAATACAAAAAATAAGAATAGAGTAAACGTTGTAAATGAATTAGAACCCGAACTTTTTAAAAAAAAGGCATTGTTTTGGAGAGAAATTAATGTTAGTAGCAGAAATGGTCGCGATTGGTATATAAAAATTTATTTTAATAGATCTAAAAAATATCTTCTTTCTATTAAAAAGAGAAATTGAATAAATTGGTTTAATCTATGCAGAATTAAAATAACATAAAATAACAAAAAATAATGTTTTAATTAAAAATATTTGTAAACCATATTTATTATTACGTTAATTGTGTTTAGATATACTTATAATAAAAGTATTACCTAATAAAAATGAATGGAATTCCACAAAACACGAAAAAAATATCCATCATTAGATATAGAAAAAATAAATGCGGTCAATGCACAGATAATCTTAATTCGATTTATAACACTATTATTAACGCTTTTTAATATCTTTGACTTCTTTATTTTCTTTTTACTGTTTTTGTATTATTTCTTTTTATTTTATTTGTATTATTTTATAAGATGTATTGTAATTGTTTTTATCACCTTGCTCGGATTTGGCATTTCTGATAACTATCAGTTAATGTTAAATCATGTTTAAGTGCACATGTGAAGTAAAGAACGAGGTTTCATTCGTTTTGTATCGCTTTTATTCAAATTCAAAAAATAATATCTTTTAGACGGATGGTATATTTAAAAGTGACCAAGAAATTGAATAAAAAAAACAAAATAAAGTGGAACAAAATAAAAGCGAAGCTTTAATTTTTCAAATGACGACGAAAGTACACGTCAACAACGTATACGTGATGAAAATGGCACAAGTAAAAATGAACTTTTAATATAATTTATTTAATTGACTTGTACATACTGAACTCAATCATTTTCTTTAATTCAGCTTTAATTATTTCCTTGAAATCATTTTGCAAATGTATTGGTATTTTCCGTGCCGGCTTTACAGTCGGTATAACGTTGTTTTTCAATCTTATTTTATAAGTAAAATTTTTTATTTCTCCTAAACTTTTAAAAAGTTCTTTATTATTTTCTATAGCTTTAGTTTTTCTTACTTTAACCGTGTCAATTCTGTTTACTAAATTTAAATCTTATATCGCTAATAAACCTAACACTGCAGGTGCCTTTATCTCCCATTCTACTACTACTTGAAAAATTAAATTCTCCGCGTGTATAATGCTCTTTTTGTGTAATGCAATTAATTTTTCAATTACTTCTATTTTTGGCCTGTTATAGTTATTTAAAATTGTACTCGATTTTTCTATTGGTGTAACTATTTTTCACTTTTTATATTTTTCCAATGGCAAGACATTATATTGAGTCCTTGAATCCATTTTCATTAATACTTTTTTAGATTTACTAGATATATATAACTAAATACATGTATTTAAATGACATTTCAAGCCTGTCGCAGATAGTCACGCAATCTTTTTCCACACTTTTCGTTTCTTTTGAGATTTCGTTTCTCGTCAGATTTATTGTTGCAGGAGTCGATATCGTGTATAAATCGTCCTCAAAGGCAGCAATTCTATCTCAATCGACAAAATTATTATCTGAAAATATGTATGCCTTGTGGTGTCGAAGTCGCAATCTTTTTCATTTTCAGTGAGTTTGTCATCGTTCTTGGCGTCTTTACCGTATCTAAATCGTCCTTCAATGGCAAGACAACAATTCTGTTGATAAAATTAATTAAATCAGAATCCGTTGGTACTAAACCTTTTTCTCACTTTCTGATTCTTTATATACTTTCTGGTTTTTTATATACTTTCTGGTTCTGTACACACTACAGTATGATTGAGTTAGGAGTTAGTGATTACAAAATAACGGAACCTAAAGAATAGGTTAATGCGATAGTTTTAGTTCGAAAAAGTAATGATCAAATTCGAGTTTGAGAATTAAAATATATCGAAAATATTAACTTAGTTAAAAGAGTTCGAGAAGGTAAAACCTGTTCAAGATTATATTATTTACAGTAGAAGTTTTTTTTATTAAAAAGAGAAATTCATGAGAAATGAATTCAAAATGAGAAATCATGTACATGATTTTAATTTATCGAATTTTTATTACGTACACTGAAAAAAATTATATTTGATTTGATAATTTTAAATTATGATTGATAATTTTAAATTATGTATATAATAAAAAAATTAAAATTATGTACATACCTATAATAGAAATTCGTCTTTCCCCGTCCTTCTCTCCTTCCTTCTCCCTCGTTCTCTGATCTCCCTTCCTGCCTTCGCGGAAGACCAAAAGTATTTCAAGGTCCCACGCTTTCCCTGGTCCTTTCTTTCCGCTTCTCTTCTACCTTACCTATTTAATCAATTTTAAAATGTGGATTAAATATTTCTTGCTTACTGGATATATTTGATTTTGTAATAAATATATAACACATTTTTATACTACATACATATACATCTAATATATACATATATTTAGGAGGAAAGTGTAACTCTTCTTATCAACAAAACTTGCAAATGTTCCCAAGATTATAATAACATTTAATTTTATGTATCTTTCCAAAGATATTATATGTATATACATGTTATATGTTGTAACCGTTCTTTTTATATTGTCCGTCGGATCGAAAAGGATCCGGGAAATAGGGCCGATGTAAGTGGCCGACGGCACACCTTCGGCGCGGAAAGCGGGAAATTCTCGTAAACACAAAAAAATATGTTTGGTTGGGCGCCAGGCGCGAGATTCGCGCCACTCTGAAATTTCCAAATCGATAAATGACCTTTATAATCAGCAAAGTATCCCGAAAATTTCCGCGACGGCGATAATCGACTCGCTCAGATCGTCAGGGGGTAGAGGGGGGAGTTCGGACGGGAGAGAGGACGGAATTCGAGAGAGGCTATTTGAAATCGCTCAAATATAACAAACATTAAATATATTTAGACAATGATAAACGAAGATAGACAGAAAAATAATTGTATAAAAACTTGAGTACAATGTTAGGTCCAGAAAGAAAAGTAATATTCGTTTGATATCTTACGGAGAGATCTCCGCTTTAATAACGCCGAAATACAGATAAACGAGGCCGAAATGTGATTCGAAAAATACAATACGGCGTATGTACGGCCGAGACGCGGCGCGTTGTTATGATTCCACGCCTTTGAGACGACCCGACGCGATGATATCGGACGACACGCGGGACCCGGAAGTAAATTCGCACGCCTACGTGTCGAATAATTATTAACGCACGAGACTTAATAAGGTCCGTGCGGCGTAATTAATTCCGATGGTCTTAGGCAATACAAAATTTCCGTAAACTCGAGTAGGTCCCGCGCGACTTCCTTTGAGATCGCTCACGCCGGTCGTTCCTCGCAATATTTCACAAAGGATCCGAAGACGGCACGGATAAGGATATGCGCGAGAAAGAATACGCTAGTTCGGATGCGTGACTCTAAATAATTTTCTATTCTCCGATCTAGAACTCTAACAGACGAGAACGGTACAGTAATTACAAGACGATACCTTAAATTTTACATTAACGTGACAAAAATCGCGGCGACTGTCGGCGTATCCGCGGGAGAGAGAGCCTCTCTTAATTTACGCGCGGGAGAGAGCACGCGGTCGGCCGGGCGCCGGGATAAATTCTACGCGGAACGAAACTCTAAATTAAACTCTCAAAATCACGAAATTACCGGTGACTCTACTAACCGGCCGCGGCCGTGACACGCTTCTCTCCCGAATACGGTACTCACAAAAAGAAAGAAGTTAGCGGCTTTACAATATTAGATAGGGCCGTTCGTCTCACCGGTATCGCCGGGTCCTCGTGTGCTTCGGCATCCGCGCAGGAACCTCTGCTCTCCGGAATGTCTCGCCGAACAGTGACGAGCAAGAGGCCTGCCGGGATCACGCCGATACTAAATTTGGCATTTTCCACCCGTGGCGCTCCTTATCCTGGCAGGGCCGCCGGGTACCCCGCGGGGCCCTGCGAATTTTCTTGATGTAAATTTTCCCTCGCCGTTCCTCTATGTTTCCGCTTTGGGTTCCGGTATTCCTCTTTATGGGCCGTCGGGAAGACTCCCACGAGTGCACCTCTTTGCGATTCCTCCCAAAAATCCGCCAGATCGATTGTTTGCTCGATGGCGGGATTTCGGTGTATCCGGATCTGCGGGGCTCGAGGTAGGGTATCTCCCGCGCCTTTCGTTTTCGGGGCTCTCTCGCCTCTCGCGCGAGAGTGGCCATCCCCGTCTCTGGCCGGAATCTCTGCGGAAGAAGGAACATTTTACGGCGGTACCCAGGTTCTTAACGGAGGGAGCAAGCCAGAAATTTGATGTGAAAATAATATTTACCGGGCGTGATCCGGACTTGGTGGCTCCTGCTCGGTCCTCAATCGTCCTCTTCGTCCTCTCCGTCCTCTCACTCTTTCTCTCTATTGGTTTCCTCGGTTGAGACACGTACCCTATGCAAAATTGCTCGCCGAAAACGCCAAAAATCGCTCAAACAAAAATCATACAAAAAGTAATTCGCGAAACGGATGCGCGAAGCGCATCCTCCGATGCGGTAGAAAACGCAAATTGATTGTTCGGGTGCTCTCTCTCTCTCAAAGATTGGCGAGAGAGCAAAGGTTCCCGAATTTTCCGCCTTCCCGGCCGGGCCTTCGGCCCTTGTGACGGACAGTACAAAATGTCACGTCACAACTCCCCCTTCCCAGAGGAGGACCGGGGAGGTTTTACCAGGGACGAACGGTATTAGCCACCAATTTCCTTGCTAGGCAAATATACTTCTGGGCTCGGCGGCCCCGCTTCGGTCCCCTGGAATCAAAGTCATCTCCCTCGCGATACAGCCGACACATAAATCGTGCGATACACCAATCGACTCTTAATCAAGCGCAAACAAAGCTAAGCCCGAAAACACGCAAAGACGACACACATTCTAGGGACGCATATCCGTCAAGACGGTCAGGAACGGACGAGGTAGGTGTGTGAAATAAAAACGTAAATTAGAACCTGCAATCCTTCTATTCTACCAGTATGGGGGATTACATTTTAGTTACCGGGAACGGAAAGAGAGGTCCCACGGTACCTCGAGGACGGAACAAAAAAAAAAAAGGCTGATATCCTCGGGGGTACGGAACAAACAACAAACACAAAAAAAAAGAAAAGGAAAACTAAATTTAGGCGGGGTCCCGTTTGGACGGTCCTCGGCCCCGATGATAAGCGCCCAGATCTCGGTATGCTGGGCCGCAGTCAGGACAGATCTGTACGTCGACGTCGCGCCGACCACACCCGTAACAGTATCGGCCCTGTCGGGGTGCCGGGCAGGCGGTGTACCGGTGTCCCGTCGCCTGACAATTCCAGCAGCGCCGCTGAGGTGACCGGGGTCGGGGGTCGTCCGGTGTGGGTGTCCGCGGGCCGCGGCTGGTTGAGCGCGCGGCCGGGTCCTCCGTTTGGATTTCCTTATCGAAATGTCCCGGGCGGGGCATTCCCATCGGGGGTCCCAGTATGCGCCCGCGTCCCCGGGTTGCGTGACGCAGAGCGTCGAAGACGAGCGGAACGAGCGGGTCGGGATCCGTGGAGGTTCCCCGGTCGATTGTGTGACCGGGGGCCGCTCCGGCGATGGCGCGGGCTACGCTCTCTGTCTGCGTAGCGGTATCCTGGAGGGGGACCGGGTTGGTCTGTGTCCCGCGCTCCTGAGGGTCTGCTTCGACCCTGAATACATCCTCCAGGATGTCTCCTAAGTAGGGAGAGCCGCTGGTCTGAGTGGCCTGGTCCCTCATCGCCGGCGGCACCCAATGCGTGGAGCGGGGCCCTTCGTCCTCCTCAGGGCCGCTCAGTAGGGCACGGAACTCCGCCCAGAACGCCGGACTCGCCTCGTGGACGGAGCGGATGGTACCCGCATGGCGGGACCTGAAAGCCCGCCAGCGTTGGTCCATGTTGATGAGGCGGAATAACGGGATAACTTATCTAAAATTAGGAGGGCGATAGGCTTTAAGGTCTTTTACATGGACTTTACCTATAGGATTTCCCTCCGGATCTCTCAACTCATATACTACGGGGGATAGTACCTTACAGACCTGAAACGGACCATGGAATTTCGGTGCAAGTTTTGCGGCGATATTTTGAGCCGCGGAGGACAACACGTGTTGCCTCTTCATTACCCAGTCACCTACTTGGTAAACCACATTCCGTCGCCTCAAGTTATAGTATCGCGATTGGCGTTGATACGCCTGATCGAGATTTTCCGCTACCCAGTGATGCAGAGTTTGTAATTTTTGCATTCTTTCCGACCACTCGGCCGGATTCCGCTCCTCAACTTCCGTCGCTTTCGGAGTTCGAGCGCGCAAGTACTCCTTCGGAACCAACTCGCGTCCTAAATTTAGGAGAGCCGGGGAGGCTCCAATGGACGTGTGAAATGCCGTGTTATACGCGAATCGGAATTCGGATAAATGGACATCCCACTCACGATGATCTCTCTCGAGGAACGCGACTATCATAGTCTTTAACACGCGATTGCTTCGCTCAACGGGATTCGCTTGGGGATGATAAGGGGGTACCGTGGTGCACGTGATCCCGTGATCCTCTGCGAAAGCCCGTATCGTTTGGTTCGCGAATTCCGTCCCGTTATCTGAGAGGAAAAACTTTGGGGTGCCCCATCGCGAGACTACCTCCGCTAAAGCTTCACTAATTTTTCGACCGTTGGCTGCTCTCAACGCAAAGCATTCGACCCATTTGGTAAAGAGGTCTTGTACTACTAATACGTACGTGAATCCTGCTTTACTTTTGGGAAACGGTCCCATAATATCCGCTGCCACAACGGTCCATGGGCCTTCTATTACTCGATGCCCCATGAGACCGGGTGGGCTTGCCTGCTCTACTTTCGTTCGCTGGCACGTGTCGCACTGCCTAACATATTTTACAACGTCGCGGAACATAGACGGCCAGTAATACGAAACCGCTAATCTATGAAACGTTTTCTCCATTCCAAGGTGACCGGATTGCGGAACGTCGTGCGCTTCTCGAAGGGCTTCTCCGCGCAATTCGGTCGGCAAAACTAATTTCCACCTATCTAAGTCCTCGACGATGTCTGATACAATCGCTCGCGGACGATGATAGTACAGATGACCGTCTACGATACGCCAATCTGTAAAACGTTTCTGTCTGTCACGCACCTCCGCAAAGCGTTTACGATACCACGGATCTGCTATGTCGTCCGGGAGATTTGCGTCCGCGACCATGACAACGTTCGCCTCCGTATCTACTTCGTACATGCGGGACAATGCATCCGGAACGTGATGCAGCGCGCCTTTTCGATGGATGATCTCAAAATCATATTCTAGAAGTTCGAGG